ATTATGACCATAAAGAAAATTAACTTGTCAAAATTAAATTGCAAAGCTTAGGGCATATATAGCCTTGTAGTTAGCCTTATCAGCTTAGACCCAAGGATGCCAACTTATCCTGAGGCCTGAGCTTTACAGAAAAATGCAGAAACACATGTTTTCTACTTCCTGTAAATTTGGCTAATTATCAAGCATGAAATTACTGATAAGTAAGGAGAATGGCCTTAGTTGGTTAAGATATTTGATAGAAATTGCTCAGAAAGCAATGGTGGTTTTTAGATCTTCCATTTTTTTTTTTATTTGGGAAAAGCATGAATCCTTTAAATTTTTCTTGTCAGAGTCCATCTTGCACATTTACAAATCTACAATTTACCTGTGCATTGAATACTGCTGCCATATCTGGTCTGGAGTTCCTGCTATTTATCTTGAGGTTTCTATTTATCTAGAAGGATCTGTAATATAATCAATCCTGACTTGGCATCTCAACCTCAGTCACTTTCTCATCAACATGGTATTGCTTCCCTCTGTCTTTTCTACAAATATTTTCATGGCAACAGTTCTGACAAACTTTTTTTCCTGGTGTCTCCAACTGCATGGATTTAAGCATGTTTACAGTTGAAATAGCTAAATGCAACCACCACTTCTACTCCAACAGTTTCTTTTCTAAAAATTTCCACCTTCTCTTTACTTGTTTCCCTGATAAATACAATCTTCAAAAATTTAAATGCAACATCAGTTACCATCTTCTATCTTCTTGAATCCTGTTCATCTTTTATCCTTGCATCAATCCTCCCTATACTCAGTCTTTTCTCTCACTTTCATCCCTTGTAACCCCCTGCATACTAGTGGTATTCCCACTATTGCAATGCCACGATTCTATGGCTATTGTTATAACACATTTTTACTTATACTACGTACTTTGTATGAGGATTCTTTTATGTAATGATTCAGCCACTTGCTGCGATGCTTGTATTAGTCTGAAGACTGCTGGCTCCAAATGGTTACTAGTTTTATCTCTGGCCTGGAGCTCTTTATAGTAAAGGACTAGTTCATATAGTCACTGGGGGTGTACTGTTTACCCCACAACACCCATCTTGCTTGGGGTGAAATGATTAAAAAAAAAATGATGTCACCCATGCAAGAATAAACTGATACCACAATATTACAGCCTGGTCATGTTTAGAAAAGAAGAAACATGTCTTTCTCTCTCTCTCTTTTTCTTTTTTTAAAAACAGGATAGATAAGTGAAAATAAGAAAGAATTTCACTCATGTGCATTTTAGGCAGGAAAAGAAATATTATTTATAAATTAATAGCAGTTCTCCTATTTCCTGCTATTTCAGATTTTGGAAAAGCAAGATTTATTGCAAGCAGAAATTTCTATTTCCTTTTGTTTTCTTGTCTTTAGTAAATAACAGATAACAAGATTTACTTACACTATACCACAAACTTGCATATAAGTACATGACTATATCTGGAGCATAAGGATGAATGACATATTTTGTTTAAGAAATATTTTTCAACATAATCTCCTTCTTTGAGAACCAAGTCTGAACTGAAATCTTTATTAGTTACATTGATCAAACATTATACAATGTAAACTTAAGATCAAAATTCAAGTAATATCTCTGTAAGAGTATGGATTTTTTTTTATTGCTCCTGTCTTATTTCAATAATCTACAATTTGGAGATATGAGTTCACAGCTCAGCCAAGAATAGATTCCAAAACAAAATTTGGCCAGATTTTGGGTTGGGCTGAGAACTTTTCAACATTCCCCTATCCATCTATCTATATTAAATAAAATAAAAATGCTAGCATTTAACACTCACAAATAATATATATAAAATGATATAATTTAATGTATATCAAAGTTAACATCAAAACTAGAGCAATAATAATTATTAAATTAGAAATAAAAACATTCAATACTTATCAAGGATCAACTCAGAGTTTCATAATTTCCCATTAACTCAGTGATTGAAAAATTACAAAACTGATTTGACATTCAATTAGTATTGGACATTTTTACTTGTAATTTAATAATTATATGGAAAGAGTTTGTTTGGTATACATGATCAAACCCATTTTCTATAAAGCCCTCAAATTTTCTATACATACTTACTAGAGGCAGAGCAAGGCTTTAATATGAAAATTATTATGTTCTTATTCATGAGATAAAAATAAGAACTCAGCTCTGCAATATCTACAGAACTCTGTAACATACAAAGAAATCTTTAAAACATATTCTCAGAATTGTTATAATAAAATAAAAAACAAAGCTAAAGATCTTCTTCTATTTGCTGTGTCCCTTCAGGACATGGGCGATTATGGCTCTCTACAACTTCCTGTCTTTTCATTATCTCTCCTAATCCCTGTTCTGCCAACCAGTTACACAAGCCCGTTAGGTAGGTCATTTGCTGCCTTCCTCTATCCCTCTTACCTTCAATCTGTTCCCTAAGTGTTAAATTCTCCAAATCCTCTTTCCTCGTGTGCACTAGAAATTTCAATTGTCTCTTCGTGATGTTAAGTATAAGTGTCTTTTTTGTTTCCATTTTCTCTGACTTTGTCATTGCTCAGATGTTCAGTCTATAGTATTCTCAACATCCTTCTGTAGAACTACATTTCCTTTACTTCAAATTTCTTCTTCACATGTGAGGAAATTGTCCAGCATTGTGCCATATTGAAAGACTGATATTACATAACAGTTAAGTACTCTTTTCTTTGTTTCTGATAAAATTTTCCTGTTTCTTAATACTTTGTTTAGCTATTGGAAAGCATCTTTCGCTATCCCAATGCAGCTTTGGATTTCAGTGTCACATTTTGCATCCTCTGTTAAAACACTTCTAGATTTTCCATCCTCCATTAAAACAACTAGATATTTAAATTGTTGTACTTGTTTTATTTTGGTATCACCATTTTGTAATTTGCATGTTGGGCTCTTCTTTTTTCTGACAACCACACAATCAATTTTCTTACAATTGATGTTTTGTCTTTTCTTTTCATTTTCTTTTACTACCTTCTATTGGAGTTCCTGCATTTTCTTTTCTGTGTCTGCAATCAGCACTATGAAGATATTGTTCCAAGTAATGTATGGAGCAATGAAAATATTTTCTAAATGTCATTCAAGTATTATATTTTATTTCTGTGATAAACTTTTAGAAATATAGGAATTAAAGCTTCAACTTTCTTTAAGATTCAGTGATCCATTCTCTTGAAGGCAAGTTATAGGAATTCTTTCTTCTTCAATCTCTCCAGTTGGAATCTAATTCCAGCAAAAGTGACCAAATTGCTCTTGCTGATAGATAAATGGCAATAACCAATTATGAAAATTAGATAGCATGACCCATTCTTTTTGTGACACCTGAAATATAGGAGTGTTCCCAAGTGATGTCCTTGCTTCTCGTAAATTAACCAAGATTTAGATATGTATAATGTGATCTGTGAAGTTATTCTGTGCTGCAGATATCATTATAAAATAAGATTCTTAATACAAAACAATTGAGGAATGTTCCCAATTGTCTTTAATATGGGAATGGATTCTGAACTCAAAATGGATATACATGAAAGATTTTTTCCTAACACATCAATATAAAAAGTACTCTTGTTACCAGGATTCAGTTGTAGCATTTTTTAGGATCTTCTCATATTACGCAACATTCTTAGAATAGAGAACTAAACCCTTTATTTAGTCCACCAAAATTAATGTCAAACTTAAAAATGAAAAATCTAAGACTCAAAGTGACAAAAATGTGGTTTTCTTAGCAAGTAGACAATGAACAAATCATGTAAGAAATGAGTAAGTTCATTGTATTGTAATTACAAAGAAACTGTTGCTAACAATCTGAAAGAGACTAGCTGAAGTTTGGGGGATATATAATAAGGAAAGAAGGCTTGGAGAATGCAACAATCACATGCCACACTTAAGGCATGAAAAACAAAGAAAATCACCAATGCTGGACTATCTTCTCACAGATGAAGAAAAGTATTCAGGCAACAGAAATATGGTTCTACAGAAGGATACTGAGAACATCATGGACTGAACATATGGAAACAAAAGGACACTTATAATTAGAATAAGAAAAAAAACAGTTAAAATTAGTAGGTCAAATAATGAGGAAAGAGGGTTTGAAAAATTTAACACTCACAGAACGTGTTGAAGGTAAGAGGAATAAAAGAAAGCAGAGAATAACCTACTGAATGAGCTCATGTAAATTGTTGCCAGAATAAGGATTAAAAGATATAACAAATAGAAAAACTTTATTCAGAGCTAAAAAGGACAGGGAATTGTGGAAAGCCATTAATGCCTACACCCTGAAGAGATACTGCACATAGAAGAAGTTCTTTACTATAAGATTTTAAAAATGACTGTGGGCTACTATGATAATTTTAAATGTTTTTTGTTTTTTAATCATTTCAACTCAAGCAAGGTAATAAAGCCACTAGGTTGTTAGGAAGTTACTGAGTGTGAGTGAATATGAGAAAAAAAAATATTAAAGAGAGAGAATAGTAAAAGAACAAGAATTAAGAAGACAGTAGATAATGGTTGATATTGCATTTAAATTTTTGAAGATCAAAGTTGACTTGGAGGCAGGAAGAGAATTCCACAAGTGAGAAGTACCATAGAAGAAACTGTTAGCATAGGACTTAGAGTTAAATTTATCCATTTCAACTATAAAGAGACCTTGCCGCCAATCTAGTATTGCATTTAAATTCATAAAATCTAGGTACCATAGAATCATCAGAATCTTCTATACAAGGTTCTTTTCAATTGGCAGTGTCCTTTAATGATGTTGGGGATCATGGCTCTCCACAATTTCCTGTCCTTTATAGTGCTTAGTAAATTTTGTCTTTTTGCTATCTTTCCTAAACCCTGTTCTGCTAACCATTTGCACAAGCTAATTAGGTAGGTTATTCATTCAAATTACATATTCCACTTTATGATAATTACTTAAAGGTAGTTGTTAGATTGCTTTCATGCCTTGAGACAATATTCTTTATATGCTGGGCTGATGGCCACATCACATTAAAAGTCCGATTCTCATACAATCACTGAAGTTAAGAAATATTGAGCATGGTCAGTACCTAGATGGGTAACCACTTGGGAATACCAGGTGCTGTAAGCTTGGATGCACAGGGGGTTTAATAGATAATGTCTTGGAATTGGAAATTGGTGAGCTGAGTTCCAATTCCAGTTGGGTTTGATACATTCACTTAAATGCAAATACTCTGGGAAAAAGGTATGAATTCACCTCTTCTCTCCCAGCTATGGGTTAATTAGTTGGATTTGTATGAGTAAATCATTATTATCTCCAAAATTCTTACAATCTAAAAATATTTTCTGACTTTAAATAACCTGAAAATGGTTTATAATCTGTAAAAAAAACAACAAATCAATCAACCTTCATATTCTGAATTTTTGCTGTTTTCATAAAATTAGCTTCTTCAAATATTTTCCTTCAGCTCAAATCCTATTTTCTTGCTTATTACCATTTTGATTTTTCTCAAATTCTTTGATTGTTTTGTTATTTATTGTTCAACTGTTTCTCATTTTTCAACAACTTAACAATATCTTATTTTTATTTTGAGGTTATATCTTTGTTATAAACCATAGCAATCTTTTTTTTTCTTTTTCTATGTATCATATCCTTCAGGACACATAACATAGAAGAAATAGCTCTCCAAAACCTCCATCTCTTCTAGCTCTTCAAAACCTCCATCCCTGCTCGCTCTTCAAAACCTCCGTCCCATCTAGCTCTCCAAAACCTCCATCCCTTCTAGCTTTTCAAAACCCCCATCCCTTCTAGCTCTTCAAAACCTCCGTCCCATCTAGCTCTCCAAAACCTCCATCCCTTCTAGCTCTTCAAAACCTCCATCCCTGCTCGCTCTTCAAAACCTCCGTCCCATCTAGCTCTCCAAAACCTCCATCCCTTCTAGCTCTTAGCAAATTTTGCCCATTTGCCAAACCTCCCATTCCATGTTCTACCATCTATTTACCCAAGCTTGTCAGGTAAGTGGCTCACTGCTTTCTTCTGTCCCTCTTTCCCACACTATGTGTCCTGTCAGTAACAAATTCTCCAACCCCTTCTTCTTCATTATAAGCTTAAGAAATTTCAGCCGTCTCTTTCTGATTCTGAGTATAAGTTTCATATCCTAACATAGACAAAGCAACTACTAAAGAAGTTTTGGATTTTTATAAATATTTATTCAATTTTTATGTTAATTTTTTTTTATCTAAGTTTGTTTCTATCTATCTTTTTGTTGCTTATGGTCTCAGCATCCTTCCAAAAGGTAAGGTAAGAATTAATAAACAGGAAAATTTCAGTTCAAACAAAGAAAAGCGTATTGAACTATATGGTAATGAATTCTGGACAATCTTCTCACAAGCAACAGAAATGTGGTTCTACAAGAGGGTGCTGAGATTACCATGGACCAAACATGTAAGCAACGACAAAGCTTTAGAGAATTCTGAGGTGTATTATGAGAAAAGATGTCTTGGAAAACTCACAAGACATTCTGAAGGCAAGAGGGACAGAAGAAAATGTTTAATCTTGCAAGCTTGAGTAAATGGATGGTAGAACAGAGTTTAGGAGAGATAACAAAAAGACAAGGTTTATTAAGAGCAACAAAGTACATGAAATAGTGGTGAGCTATGATCACCAACATCCTGAAGAGACATGGCCTATAGAAGAAAACTCATAAAAATATTTAGCATTTATAGTAAGCAATATTTCCATTTCAAGGCTGATTAAAAGAAAAAAGAAATTGTAATTATTAAAATAAGATAAAGCTTTTGAACAAGTTTCAATAATACGCATATGTATTTATGTGACTGATGTAGACAATAAATATTGCCTAGTATGCTCTCGGCAATAATAAATATTGAATAAACAGTAACTGAATAAAATTATATCAAAATCTGGAATGTAAGAATTTATTGAGTTTGGGGGCATGAATTTAATGTCTTATATTTCATTTTTTAGGGGAAAAAGAAGATAAAAGTTTAGAAATTTTATTTGCTCGTCTTTTTCAGTATTAAGTTTATTTAGTCAAAAAGAACATGTTTGATATAATCCAGTAAATGTAAGCTATTTACTTAAATTTTCAGCTGATTTTAAAACAAAATAATCAGATGCAAAATATTAACATAATGAGACAAACTATTTATGCAACCCTTTAGTAAGATTTATTAGACAAATATGCTAGAACTTTTCATTCACTCTTATATAGGTACCTCCAAAAATTTGCTAAAAAAGAGCATACCATGATGAAAAAGGCCACAATGTTGATAAAAACGAACTTTTATCATTAAAATGTTTATATTCAATTATTTTTTTCACCTAAAGCCTCCATAGAACAACATTAGATAAACATCAATCTGTTAAACATATCAACAGCTTAAACAAACAGCTACTGCTGTGTTAAAAATGTCTTTCTGTAATATTTTAAGCTTAAAGTCAATAATATTTGTTTTAAATCAGCTAATATTTCTCAAATAAAGTTTCAGAAAAGTATATTTTATTTTTGGAAGATTTTTTTAATAAAGCGAATTACACTGCAATGAACGATGACTAAAAAAGGGAGCTAATCAGCTATTTCAGAAAAAAAAAACTCTTCCCAGTCAATTTAAATTAGTTTTGAAATAGAGAATAGTATTTTGCTTATTGGAAATATTAAATTTAATCTATTAACTTGAAATTAAAACAAAAATAAAAGCTTCAAGAAATATTTTTCATTTTTAAAATTTCATTTAAAACCTTAGGTATTGTGTTTTATATGGTGGTACTTGCTCTCATAAGATTATTTCTTATAACTATAAATGTTTGAGTAGAAATCCCAGTTTTCTTTTTAAATGAAATTAATGTCTACCAGCCTAGATATTGAAAGTCTTAATAAAGATACTGTGCTTTCTGACAAGAATCTCTCTACCCTTTATTAATTGGAGAAACTCCTTTCAACCTAAGTGTCCTTTACCATTAAACCACAAGAATCCCTTACAGCAAAGCTCAGTTACCCTATTTGAGAAAGATATATCTTTTATATATATATATATATATATATATATATATATATATATATATATATATATATATATATATATATAGAGAGAGAGAGAGAGAGAGAGAGAGAGAGAGAGAGAAAATGATCTAAATAAGGTTTTTGAAAAAGACAGTAATTTCAGTTAAATTTTAGCATTTGAGTTGATTTGAAACTGATATATGTAGACAAGGTTTTGTTTTTTCTTATTGCAGCCCACTGACTTTACCACTAGTCCTTCTGCTTAACTTGAGTTATTTTCTGTACTTACAAAATAAATAGTTTGAGCAGCAGTTGATAAGAAAAAAATATAATGACTGAATGCTTTATATTGATTTTTTTTTTTTTACCTAAAATTTATTTCAGAAAGTTTGATGTCTCATTTTGTATGTTGTGCATTTAAAATATTAAAAAACGGTATTGGTCATTGAGTTACTGACAGAATGATGCTATTATGTGTATAGTGTAAATGTATTGCTAAGGATTTATTATAGAAATGCAGATTAAATTGTTTCACTGTAGAAATGCAGTGAAAAGAAATACTGAATTTGCTTAAGGTAAACAGTTCACATTTAAATTGTGACAAGATAGAAATTTATTGTGACAATAGAAATTTAAAGAAATAATAATTTAGTTCTTTTCTTCAATCAAAAGATTTGCACAAAATATTTATTTCCAAAAGTACATTGAAGTGTACAGATGATACATTTAATCTCCAACAAAGAAAAGTTTTTGATAACTACACTTCATGAGTATTGACCTTAGAGCAAAGGGGTAAAGGTCATTAATAGGCCAGAAATTAAAATCATAATAGCAGCATTAAAGTTTCAAGATTAAATATAATGATTTAATAACAAAATGTAACAGAATAGACTGTTATTTGTATAACGTAAATATATTGCTAACGATTTGCTATACAAATGCATAGAAATTATTCTGTTATAGAAATGCATTTATTGCCACTGGTCAGGAATTAATACAAATGTTATTGACAGAATAGTTGTAATAATTTTATTATAGAAATGCATTGACAAGAAAGGTTATAGGAAACACTTAAATTTAATCGAAGTTTAGCAAAACACTTAATTCAGATATAAATTTTGTCATTCTGGATTTATAGTGATTTCCTATAAAACATTTATGTAAATTTATACTTTAAGATGCATCCGGCATTGTATGAATCAATGAATGAACATTTCAAGTATTATGTAAAATTGATTAATTTCCTATTAAATGTAAAATTACTTTTATATGAGGGTGTATTCAAATGTTCTCAGCTTGACTTAATTTTCAAAATTTGACAAAAGGATAAAACATCAGGATTTTGTTTTTTTGAATCCCATTTTGGTTAGTCTGAGAATGTTTTAGCATCCAAACATATTGTAGGTGTTTCACCCTTTTAACACAACAAAATTTTTGCCACCTTCTCAGCTGAAAAAAAATGAAAGGAAACATAATATTTGTTAAATAATCTCTTAAATTTTCATGTAAATAAATTTAAATGGTCCAGATGAGATACCATTCAGAGTCCATCAGAAAAAATAGCTCAATTGGCACTTTTTCCTGCAAGTTATGCAGCTTCTCAAAAGAAAGAACTGCAAAAATGGTTAATGGTCTTTAATAGGATATTAAAAAAAGTACCAATCAGATTTTGCTATATATTATCCAGTCATGTTAAGTAATGATATTTCAAAAGTAATGAGATGCTACTGATACCCAAGTAGCTTTTATTCTCTCCCTTTCTTCAAAAATAGCTTCTCAAATATATAATTTAGAAGCATCTGACATTTTTCATGGAGAAATAATTTAACTGAAAAAATTATAATTGGTATTTCCATATTGCAAAAAAAAAATTGTTGTTTTTCTTTTACAGACTTACAGATTAACTTTTTCTGAAAGTTCCTAGATTTTAATAAAAAAATATGCTTCCTTTAGGAGCAAAATATTTTTTTAGATCATTAAAAGTAATTATTTTATATATTCAATCTTAAATTAAAACAATAGATTAAACACATTTCAGTTAAAAGAATAAATAAAGCACATTTAACTCATTTCTTTACAAAATCATTTTTATTAGATTATATAGA